CATTCATGTTGAAATGACAAAATATTTGTTTTATTGTGAGCTTTACTACAAATTATAATTAAATATTTTTAAGAACATAATCAGTCGAATCCATCCATCTATTCAACCATCCATCCACCTATCCAATGTTATTTTTCTTTCTCATGCATACTTTTATTTTATTACTACATATGTGAGTATTAATAAATAATATATACTATTACTGTACATTTTCTATTTTGCATACATAAGCAGAAATAGGATCATACAGCTTCTGGATTTGTTTTTTTTTTTAACTTGTTTTCCCTTTCCCTGCACCTCTGTCTACCGTTAATCCTTTCTTTCAAGGTCTCAATAATTATATATATTATACAAACAATATATGTCCAGAGTTTGTAATTTGTCTTAAAATATTTTCTTAGAAATTGATTCTTTATTTTAGATGGCATAGAGTCTGAACAGATTAGGTATTTTTTAAATACTAAAAGATATCTACCAAAAATAAAGTATTTTTTCTCTATATCCTTACTAGCAAAACTATGTTTTTCCAGTGTATTATACCATTATTATCTTAACTTTATTTTCCTCATTACTGCTACTGGGAGCATCTTTTCACAGCTTAATCTTCTATGAATGACTTTCTATATATTATGTTGTCTTATTAGTTTTATAAGAACTTTTCCTATATGATAGATACCAATCCTTTCTATCTTCTATATTACTAATATTTCTTTTCCAAATTAACTTTTTAGAAATTACTATATTATTCTTTCCATATAGTTTTTAAAATTTATGTAATCAGATATTTCTATTATTTATTTTATAGATTTATGATTTTTAGTCTTGATGAAGGAAGTTTCTGTGTATGTTGTCTATGTATGTACACTGTGTATGTAATCTCCCCACTTTATTTATAGGACTTTTATTTTCAAATTTTCACACATTTTTACTCCATCTGGAAGTTATTTTTGAACATGATAAAAAAAAAGGGTCCATTTTATTTTCTTCAAGTCTGACAGACATTGTAACATCACCATTTATTTAATAATGGACTATTTTCTTAATGAATTAAAATATTTTTATCTTCTATTAAATTACTTTAAGAGGAATCTATTTTGAGATTCTTTCTTCCACTAATCTACTTGACTATTCTTATACCAATGCTGTATTGATTTTTTTACAGTGATTATGATCTGATATCTGGTAAGGCAAGTTTCCTTTCACTTTTTCTTTAATTCAGAAAATATATCGTCACTATTTCCTCATATAATTTAAGACCACATTATCCAAATTTAAAAAACAGATAAATAAACAAACATCAGCTAAGGTGAAATCAATTAAGATGCTTCTTAGAAGTATATTACATATTTATATGAATTTGGGGAGAATTTTTTGTTTAAATAATACTAATTCTCTCTACTTCAAAACAAATATGTCTTCCCTTTTGCTCAGATCTTGTTGTATGCCCTTCAGTCAAATCAAAGGTTGTTTTTTTCCCCCAATTTGCAACTGTCTTTTTAGTTAAATGTATTACTAAATATTTTACATAGTTTTAGGTGCTTTTGTGAATGGAATATTTATTACCATTTCCCTTTCTAGGTACTGTTGGGGCTCAGAAAATGATACCCCACAGTGAAGGTCTAAGAATCACCCTTAGAAATAGTCTCTATCTGACCTTCTCACCTTCTGTCTCTTGCCCCTCATTCTCCTTTGAGAAAACCCATAGAAACTAGAATCCCTCTTCACCAAGGTGGGTCATAGAAACCAGAACTTCTTTTCCCCAAAACCAGGCATAAAGAAAGCCTAAAAATATTACTCTAACTTTTTCCTCCTACTTCTTTCTATATAACAGAAAATTAAAACATTAAGACCTTCATTCCATAGGGGTCCTACCCCATATCCTGGAGAAGGGAATGCTACACAGAGAGGCTTTAGAGTTTCCCCACTCAGTCAATTAGCATGAGATCCTAACATTTTTGTCTAATCATAGTTCTATATGGCTGTCTATACTTTATTGAACCTATACATAAAAATGGATAGTTTTTTATCTAACCATCTTATCATATCATCTATTAATTTTACAAGTCTTTTGGAGTTTTAACTACTCAGTCAAATCATTATAAGAAAGAAAATATTTTAACGTTTTAGTTTCTTGATTACATTTGCCAGACCATCCCAAAAAATTGAGTAACAGCATTTTTAGAAGTTAATCCTATTTACATCCTTATTGTAACTTAAGTTATTAAAGTATGTATAGTATGTAACCTTTTAGGAAAATAATTGCTGCTTGGTTAAGAGGATATTTTACATTTAAGTACTTTATATTTAACTTACAGATTTTAAAAGGAATAGCTAGCAAATTACTGTCAGGCTTATCAACCTATCATTCATTCACTGCCTGATATAAACATCCCCGGTCTTTCTGAATTATACATTATTAGGCCATATGTATTACATTTTTAATTAAATGATGTGTAAATTAGATATATTAGTATTTCCTTTTCAATTGTTGCATCTATATATTTCAGTGATGTTGCACTTTTTTTTCTTTTTATACTATCTCTATCAGGATTTGGTATTACAATTATGCTGGATTCACAAACTGAACTGAAAGAACATTCCATATTTACCATGATCAGAACTAGTGTAAAAGGCATTGCTCTTTCCTATTTTTTTTTAAGAGTTAGAGAACTGCAAGTTCATATGGTCAGAGTACATTTTTCTATGTACTTTAGTTATCTTTCTAATTTCTTTTATGGTAATGACCTCTGCAAGTTTTATAATTATTGTGTCAATTTTAATAATTTATATTTTGTTAGAAGACCATTGATTTCATCCAACTTTTGCAAGTTACCAGACAGTTATAGTTGTATTATCTTATGATAAATGTATCTTGTTACCATGGTTGGTCTTCTCTATCTAATTGTATGTTTTTGCTCTAATATTCAGGCTCAAAAGTAATTTTGCTATTTTCATAGAATAATCTCTGAGGATTTCTTTATTCTTTCTAATTTGTTTCTTGTTTTCAGTTTCCTTGATTGTAGCTTCCATTTATACTAACTCCTTTCTGGTTTACTTTATTTTGTTGTTCTTTATCTAACTTATTATATTTGGCAAAGGAATCATTTTGTCATGAAGTAAAAAAGTCTCAAGATTTGAGGCAAGGTAGTATTATTTAATAAAATAAGATTATTAGGCTGGCGGTCAGAATACATGTCCCATGTATGCTTTTTAGCAAATCATTTCATCTGTTCAGGCTAATAGCTCCCAAATCTGCAAAATGAAAAAGAGAATATAAAGCCTGAAAGTTCCTGTTAGGTAAAAAAAGAAAAATTACACCTGCTAAAACTGGTAAACTTTAAGTTCCATTTGAGAAGGTAGGGTATTTGAAGGAATAAGAAACAATGAAACAACTACACTGGGAATCACTGCCTTAAAAAACAGAAGTATCTAAGAAAATCCAGTTTTTCTATGATAGTGAAATATAGTCACCCTTTCTTATCTGTGGATTCTACATCTGTAGATTCAGCAAACTGCAGATCAAAAATATTAGAGCAAAAAATGGATGGGTGCTTCTTTCTTCTCATTATTCTCTAAAAAATGAAGTATAATAACTGTTTACCTAGCATTTACAAAGTATTACGTGTTATAAGTAATCTGGAGATGATTTAAAGATACAGAAGGATGTGTGGAGGTTATATGCAAGTATTACACCATTTTATATAAAGAACTTGAATATCTACTGATTTTGGTATCTGCCTCCGCAGACACAAGGGACAACTGTATAACAGAGGCCTATACTTTATGAAGGTTTGAGTCATAATCAAGTGAACTCATATGATGCTCCATGAACATGAATGGTTTAGTACAAGATCTTCTTAAAGAAAAGTGCATCTACATTACACTGCAGGAGACAAAGAAAGATTTAAAAAATTAAAAATTAGAACTATATCATTAAACCACATTCTCAAATTATTTTTAGAAAAAAAAATAATCTCAAGTTAAATGGCGGGTTTCAGTGGCTCCATAAATCCTGTAATCTTATAAATAAAAGTCTATTTATGTTTACATATAATTTTATTGAGAAAATTAATCACATTCATTAGATTTGCAAGGAGTTTAGGACCTGAAAGAGGTTGCAAAGACTATTCTAAGATGAGTAAACCAACTTTCTACCCTTATTCTCTCAGGAAACCTTTCCATGGTCATATTTTTGCTACTTCACCAAAGAGACCATTTTGCTGTTGAATAGCTACAACTAGTAAAAACTCTAGTTCACATAAAATCAAAATTTACCTCTGCAATTCTCTTCTATTTTCTTGATTACAGTCGCTAAAGTATGACAGAATAAAACAATTCCCCATTCCTGAAAATAACCTTTTATATATTTGGAAATAGCCATCTTAGCTCCAAGATGTTTTTCTCTTTTAGATGGTGGCTTTTAAACAATATACAATATAGACTTTACTCCCTAATTCAAAATTTTTCTTTAAAGGTAGATGGTTCCATCACTCATTAAGACAATATTTTATATTTTCAAAAAGTTCTTTAGTGATAGCTCACTAATTCTGATAGAAGGATAGATTCACTTGTGAATTTCAAAAATAATTCAGGGAAAAGAAGTACATTGTGTTGATTATGTGACCTCTTAAGTTCTACAGAATTGCCACATACTTACTCTGCTAAATTCTTAGAGACTCATAAAAATCTTTAAAAATTATTTTTTGACTATGAGTTAATTGTCAAATATTATTCATGGATGGATTTTAACACATCTTCAATCTTATAGCTCATTTTTATATTTCTTTTTATAAATTCAGAAAGGATAAATGTAGAATAGCATTAATTTTAATGGCACTAAAAACATCATTTACACTAATTCTTTTGGGAGAAAAGAAAGAGGAAATATTTAGTGGAGTGAAATATAGCACCATGCAAAATAGAACAAATTCTAAAGTGGTAAACTAAGCTCTGTAAAACTCAGCACAAAAATTAAATACATATATAAGAGTATTACTTACGGATACAATTCTGAAAGCTGTTCAGCAATTGCATGAGCTGTCGGATCTCTGTCTAAGGCATAAAGAGTAATATCTGATTCCTTCTGTAGAATGGCTCTTGTGTGTCCTCCTGAACCAAATGTCATATCTAGAAAAACCTAGCCAATGCAGAAAAAGAAAATTACCAATTAGCATAAACAAAATTAATTATTGCTAAGTATCTTAATTTCTAGAAGCATATAATGATTTTTCAGGGCTGACAGTAAACAGAAAGAGAATTATAAGTTATTATTAGAGTTAAATTCTTTATACATGAAATCTGGCTCAATTATGAGTGATCAATCCAAAAGAACTGATCAGAGTATCAGTAAAATAATCCCTGGAACAGATTGACTAATTCAGGAAAAATTTACTTCTCCCTCTATAAGGTCAAACTGGCCACAGTGCTGTGTTGCTAGTTCTTTATTGCTTTCTAGCACACAGCTCGTAATAATATTTGCAACAATTTCTCCTCATTTGCAGATAGTTTATAATTATTGTAGGTCACTTTATTTCAATTTCTGTAATGCTTTACATGAAAATAAAGATATTCAAGAAGACAAAGGGAGGGAAGGAGAGAGCGAGAAAGGAAATAATAATATAGCAATATACCAAACAATAGTCACAGAACATATAAAATAAAATCTGGAAAATTGAGAAATAAACAAATATTGACCTGGAAAAAGCCAGAAAAATGACAAATTCTAGGTTTTATATTAAGTAGCTATAGGACTTTGGAATAGTCACTTAAAGTTACAAAATTGCAGTGTCTTTAGATTTCTCTAGTGTTTAAAAAGAAACACAAGATAAAGAAGAAAAGAAGATACCACTACCACATACCTAATTGGTAAGGTAACATATCATTTCTCATCTAAACCAAGGCACTTTTGAGAGTAAAAGATTTGCCAGTAATAATTTTGCCAGGGCAAAAGGGCATGATGTACATGAGTGCCATCATTAAATACTTGAATCATTCCAGATACACAATACAATCGATTGAATCTGAATCTACTTCTTGGTCATTTTATTTGGGCACGCTCTAAAGGAATAGTCAGGTCACAGTTGAACAAGAAATCAGACCTGGACCATAAGAAACTTATGTGTGTACAAGTTAATTGATTTTTGACTGATTTGAGGTCAAGACACTCTGCACACAGCCCCGCAAATTTATGAACTTACTTTAATGGGCCCTTCCAATAAACTTCACTGGTATTATGAAAATAAAAACAATTACTCTAATAATATTGAATACAATGACAAATAACATAAGTCTATTAGTCAGACTTAATAATATTAAAATATATAATTTTTAAAAGTTCATGTGTTTATTGCACAAGCAAGGAAATTCCTGTCATGAATTTGAATATTTCTCTGCCCTAAATGTTACAATTTATATCAAAGAGACTGGTCAGACACAGAGTGCAATTATGCTTTGATTTTTGGATCCCATCTGCCATGCTGAGTTCCATCCTCTGATCAAGTCCTAAGAAAAGTTAGCCTGCTATTGAAAGAATTATATACAGGAAATCTGTTCAAAATTGAGAAGAAGATGGGCATAAAATAGAAAAATGATATAAATATGGTAAAAATGTATGAGCATTGCTTTTTAATATAAATGTTTTAGTATAACTTAACCTTGTACTTCTATCAGTGACAACACAAAAGTCATGGCTACATATATTCTTCATCATTTTAAATAGTAACTTTACATATTTAAGAGTACATACTTAAATCTCAGGATCAAATAATCTGCTTTGTTAGTTTATATAATATAGACTTATTTTATGCATCTATAAGTACGTAAAAATCTTCCACCATAACTTACCTCAGTTTTAAAATTGTGAGGAATGCAACAAAATTTAAACAAAGAACTTTTCACAGGCAAAAGTATAAACCACTTCCTTGTTATGGTACCAATACCAAGTCTTGTAATAACCCTGGATTTATACTGTAAGTTTATTAAGTAAAGTAACGCATATAATTACCTTATCCCAAGTCAAGAAAGTCCCAATCAATATTTAAAAAGAAAAATCTTCCTCATTAGAAATATTCTAGAAAATGTGATTACAATTTACATGATTATTTTTTAATATATCATGATTATGCCCTCGGAGATGTACTGACCATCAAGGAAGTTTCCACTGGGTGGGGGCAGCAGAGAGGAATCTATTATTACCAGTCAAGTGTAACACATAAAGCAAAATGTGGGAGACAAATGGGATTTATGAAACTAGAATGGAATCCCACCATATGTCCTGGGTTAATAGGTGATAGGAGTCATCAAATTTCATTTTTAAAATTCTAATATTCATTGCTTATCAAATATCAAATATAATAGTGGCATCTAGGCTTCATGAGTCACCCAGTGATACAATGGAAAAGGGAGCCAATTAAGTTTTTCCCTTCTCCTGGGTCACTGACATGACATAAGACTACTTTTTTTTATCTATACAAGTTGAAAATAAAATAAGGTGACTAATCGATTTTTTTGCTTAACAAATAAATGCACAAGAATAAATCTGAATGTTTCAAAGTAATCCTTCCAGGGATCTCAACTATAAATAAATTTCAAATGTATATCTTATGTTTCAAACATATATGAAACTTTCTTTGAAATTATCTCATATTATTTATCTTAAAACTAAATGTTTATTCTGGTTATTTCACTGAGTACCTACACAACCCTGGCCAAATCATTTTAACTCTTGGAGCTTCAATTGTTTCATCTAAGAAGAAATGAGAATAAAATGTACCCCTGTAAACCTCATAGAGACATTTAAAGATTACCTTATTTGTTGCAACCACAAAGTAGGTGTTACTAGATTTTACATTTATAGAAACTATGACTATACTAAGCTAGTAGCAAATGCAAGAATTGAATACAGGTGTATCTGGCTCTAAAACCTGTGTTCTTTCTTGCACCACTCTGTGTCTGCATTAAATCAATAAAGTCTATATTTGCACACCGCTTTATAATTTTGCAAGCATTAAGGTTTTCCTACTTGGTTTACCATGAATTCTGTGACAGTATAGACAACTGGCATTATCCCCATTTCTACAAAAGGGAAAACTCAGATGCAGACAAAAAATGAGACTTGATTAAGATATTACTAATAAGTGAGGGGAAGTAAAGACTAAACCAGGTCTTGCCAACTCTAAATTCTATGCTCTTTCTGAAAGATATAAAGAAAGAAAAAGAAATGAAAGTGAAAGAATGAAAAAAAAAGTATAATGGCATAATTTGGGTTCAGAATCAAAATAAAAGTGATTTAAAGAAAAAACAAAGATTAGCATTTAAGGAAGAAGATTCCTAACTACAATTCTCCAACTTTACCTCCAACTTAATATGGTAACATCAGTACATAATAGTAGGTGCTTAGTATATATTTAATGATGTGATATGGAAAAAGGAGCTCAGCCTCCCAAGGTACTATGCTAAAGATAGCAATGCTCATTTGTGCATGAGTCTAGAAACACTCTTCAAAATATGACTCCTAACCACAGAACCACATAAAGAGTCATAATTCAGTTTAAGATGCCCAATTTTTAAGATTCATTTAACATCAATATGTTCCTAATACAGCCAATTGATTCATTAATGAATAGACCTCTTCCTGAACTATATAATGATCTGTAATTAATTGTATTATTTAACTCCATAGCACCATGTTTTTATTTGCCGATCAAACTCCTTTACATTTCAAACGAGAAAATAAATATTTCTTATATTTGGCTAGCTCTTTTTAATCAAACACAACGACATGACATTTTATCCCCATTGTTATCGGATATTAAGAGGATACAGACAGAGAATTTCAGAGATCAAAGGGCCATAACAGACTATTCCACCCACTCATTTTACTTATGAGGAAGCCGAGGTCTGCAGAGGTTACCCAGTAGCTAGTTGAGGGCAAAGCTAATACTAAAATGAAGATCCTGTGTTCTTTCCACTTCATCTCATAATATTTCAGCACTGATATTATATAATCACATTGAAACAAAAATAACTGTTTCCTGAAAATGTTTTTCTCTCTTAATATGAAGATAGATACATATAAGAACTTTATTACTTAAGCCTCATAGTTAAAAATAACCACTATTCTACCATTTTAATTTTAAAAAATCTTTATAAAGATCAAATTAAGCCCTAAAGAAAGATAATTATTTTGTATATGGCCTGGTATAAATGTCTGCCCATTATCTGTAACAATGACTGACGAAGACTGACTTATCAACAAGTTACAGTTTTCATATTGATTTTGAACTTAAAGAATTAAAAAATGACAGAAAAACATAGATTCATGGGTGGTTAGAGCTAGAAAGACCCATAGAAATAATCCAAGTTTAATTCCTTTATTATACATATTGCTCTAGATTTCTAGAGTATACCTAGCCCTATAATTTCATACCTCTCAAATTTGATATCATTTTAAGACTCAGCTCAGGCTCCTCTCTAAAGATGGAGACTGACAGAAATCCAGGCATTTGCCCAAGATCATCCTGCAGAGACTAGATAATTAAATGATTTATTTATTAACTTGTTTATTTTACAATCCAACAGTTCTAATCATTGAAATTTTCACACTGGAACAACACTGTTAAAATTGGACATGAAAACATTTTTACCCATAAACAGTACGAGGGCAGATCTTCCAATTTCATTTTCCTAATGTTGATTAGTCATTTCCAATCTGTGCAAGATTTTTAATAGTAAGTTCCCATCTGAATTTGGAAATAATATGGCCTGACTTCACTTTAAAATTTCTTCCTGTGAATATTTTCTTTTCTGTCAATTGCTAATTACAAAAGCACTTTAGAATTAAAGTGCTTTTGAAAAAATTTTAAACTTCCCCTATTTGCAACTAGTTTCATTTTGAAGTACTAAAATGTGCTAAACACATATTTGTAATTTTTTTCAGGAGGTAATTAAAAACATAGGGCATTAATTAATAATCTACATGTTTACTGAGCATTCTGTATAGGTAAGACTATAGGAGGTAATACAAAGATATGTCTGCCTTGCAGTCTACTGAGGGGATTTAGAAATGCACACAAATAACTATAAGAAATCAGCAATATAAGGAAAGCATATAAAACATTCTATAAGGAGTCAAAAAAC